TTTTTTTTTTTTTTTTTTCTTTTGGAATTAGCCCTTTTTGCGCTGGGAGAAAAATCTTTAATTCCTGCACTCTTTGGTTTTCTACTGGGAAAATGGCAGTTACCCTGGTAGAAACCAAACATGTAAATGGCCTGTGTTTTGAGGTATAAACAAGCTCAGCTGTCTTTTACAGCCCTTGTAAGGAAGCAGTAGTGGTTAAAACTATTTATTAATTTTAAAAAGTTTTAGCACAACTGGTAATAGTAGTCATAATAATAAGAACCTTAAGTAAAGTTTTAAGCTTTGGAGAGTCATGGAGTTATGCTTGCTCTCCACATTTAGCCTGATTTTAATATTTAATGATTTGAGACAGTATAATTGAAGAGCTTAAATCTTTGGTGTCAAATATGTGGCCTGTGTCCAGCCCATGGAGCTGGGTCATCTGACCCATAGGGGTTTTCACTGTGGTTGCTGTAGCCAAGATGTTAATATTGTCACAGCTACTCAACTCCATTGCTATGACTATCAGGCTCAGTTTTCAGCATGGCCATCATACAGGGAGTGAAAGCCACTGCAGAATTTTATGTTTTTTGTCACTGCTGCTGACTAACGCCAGCAGTGTCCACTCCCTGTCTGGGGCTACACAGACACTGCGGCTCTGGCAGCTGAGGCTCCTTGTGGAGTGATGTCTGCATCGACTCCTTGGCTACTGATACTGACACAGTAACATAGACAGCCATAGCCAGAAGCCCTGATCTGGGCCTGGCTCTCAGTAATTTCAGTTCAGACTCTGGGACCAAATGAGTTTGCACTTATATTAGAGAATGTGTCCACTGGCAGAGCACCATAAGAAAGACCCTCTGTGTTGTGATACCCCCACTCTTGGAAAGGGGTAAATTAAAGAATGTCAGATCTCTCAGCAAGTTAAATAATATTCTGGGGAAACAATATTTGTCTAGTTTATCTGGCTTTTATCTCTTTAAATGCCTTTTTAAACATTATTTTGAGTGATTTATCGGTTTCCATGGAATGTGACATGAACTAATCGTGTGTTTTGGTGATAACGACAAAACACCCTGCTTCTTTTCAGTTGCCTTACATCAGACTGCTATTGTGATTTTTAGTGGCATATTTACCCGTGCCTTTAATGAGAAAACAGGCTTATATTTTTCTTTCTTCCCAAAAGCTGGACTGATCTTGCTGTTGTATAATACACTGATAGTTCATCATAAAGCCAAATCCTCCAGCCTTCAAATAAAATTCATATTTACTTCAATGATTAAACATTGCAAAGTAATTGTATCGGTGGAAGTTTTGCCTAAAAACTGCAGGATTTTAGTCTAAATTAAAAATTTGATTTTTAACAACTCAGCTGGGGATCTGGTTCCTCTTTTGTCATCATTCACGCCTCCCCCCACTCCTTCATGCAGGAATTGGGCTGTTTTATGGAGCATAAACATTTTATTTTTATTATTTTATGATCACCATATTTGCACACTTAAGTTGTCTGTAATCCCTTTTTTGCCTCTGGCTAGTCCTTCCCAGTAGTGTATAATGTACTCTGCTTTGCAAACTTGGGAATTAATTTTTAACAGTTGTAGAAAAATAGTTCACTTTCACATTCATGCAGTTTAATGGAAATGGATAAGAGGAGGAGTTTTTCCACAACCAATCCTGGATGCTATATTGCCTATTTTTGGGGGGGAAAGAAATATGCTCAATCACATGCAGATTTCTAGCTCAGAATGTCACAATGTTTCTGTATTCTTGCATGGTAAAGGGAACAGAGGAAAAGGTCAGTGATTTATTTCTGTTGGCATGAATCATAGTTTTCAGTTCATTTAACAAAAGATGATATCCTGCCGTATTACTATATTATAGAATAATGTTTGTTACTCTTGTTTTTCTTGTTTGTTATTCTTGTTTTGTGTCTATCAGCAGTCTTGAAACAAGTAGTGTCTCATCTTAGTGATATTTATAATGTACACCACCTTCTTGAACCAATGAAAGCTAAGAGGTAAGGAGGAGAACTGGGAAAGGTATTATTCACTGCCCTTGCCCCTAAAATATTACTTCTATGGTTAAGATGAAATTAAAATGACAGAGTAAGGTGTTTTTCCTTGTGCCCCTAATATTTTCAGAAAACAATGCTAGTGCTGCTCCTGATACTGGCTCCCATATATAGTCAGATGATGAGTAATACTTAATGAATATGGAAACTTAAAAGTTTTAGCTGTTCCTTCAGTAGTTTTTTTTGTGAATTACATAGGTTCAAAAGAGAACTTACATGCCTTTAAAATTTTTTTGGTTTTTTTGTTTGTTTTTTGCAAAAATCTTGGTCTAATAAAAGATATCATCTCTACTATGAGTTCTGATTGCCTTTTTCTCTAGACCAATACGGCTACAATGTGGATACTTGATGTCTTTTGAGTAGCATTTGATTGGCTACATTTGTAGGAGAGATCTCTTAAGAAATGTAACAAGGGAGTATTGTAAATGTTACAAAATTTAAGCAAGATGGGTATCTGATATTACTTGATGTCAAATAGCATTTTGGTAAAATATTAAATAACATTTGATACTTGATTATCATCACAGATTTAATTCCTTTATCCATTGCCACTCACCTGATACTAACAAGTATTACTATTTAGAGCAGGGTTTGGCAGCCTTATGCCCATCTATGAACCAGCTGATTGCAGGCCAAACATCTCCACCCCTCTTCTCCTTCCAGTGGCTGGCTACCAGATTCCTAACTTTTCTGCACTAAGGGGAAAGCTCCCTGAGAACAAGTCTGCTGTGCTGGATCTGGTGCACAGACCATTGGTTGCTGCCCCTGCCTTGGAGATGTGAAGTGACACTCGCTTTGTTAACAAAACAACAATGTGGGAAGTCCAGTCTTTGTACTGACTTGAATTGTAAGATTGCCCGAGTCATAAAGCATTACTGAGCAATCAGGCTGCATGCTAATATTACAAAACTTGCTCAGTCTTGCAAGATACTGAGCATTGCTGTTGTCTGCTGTATACCCTTAATGCTTACTGTAGTCATCAGTAACTTATTCTGCTCGATCCCTTCTGGGATCAAACCACAAGAGTAAAAAAGCACAGAGATGCAGTGCTCTTCCTACAAATATTACAAGTACACAAACACAAGTTTAAACCTCCATTTTTATTGCAAATCTGCCATGTTTCTGCATAATTTTATTCAAAAGGTCTTAACTGTTTAATACTTACTTCAGAATAAAAACAATCAACCAGTCTCACTTATGTTCCCTTATTTGCATAAAAAAATTGATTTGTACATTTTATACAAAAACACATTACTCCTCAAAACTTGATTTAAAGCTTTTTGTCTGTTTGAACACCAAATCCTTCATCCATCATGATCACTGATCTATTTTTTTTAAATAACGAAACACATGCTGAATTTTGTGAATGAGACCAAGATATTGTCATGGTGACTACATGATAATAGGAAAGCTTTTTCTATCAACTAACTCAGTTGAGAACTAGAACACAGTAGCTTAACACTAGATTTATCTGTCACAGCTTCACAAAAAAGGGGATCAGTAAGAAAATGGTTCTGTGCGCACTGGAGTACTACAGGGTATGCCTTATTTTTTCTTCAAAAAAATTTTTTTTACATGAAGCAAAGCACAGCACTGCTGAAATGATGTGTCCACACTATTGTATTTCTTGAGCTAGCTCATAGATGTCATGCAGACATAGTATTGTTTTGATTAAAAAAAAATTAAACTTCCTTTTTTACATTTTTTTTAAAGAAAATAAACTCAATCTTATATTATGACAGAAAACATACACATCTGAGACTTCTATTTTCTATTCCCTGAGCATCAGAAAATTCTATCTTTGCAAACCATTTGCATAGTTATTGAGAGATGACCAAGTATTTCTTAATTTATGCTAACTTAATCCCAAAATGTAGACCTGAATCTTGTTGGCTACTTTCAGATGACTTTGTCAATGCAAACAGCCTACACATATGAGTAGGCTATAAGAATAGATACACAACTAAAGATTTGCTGTTTCTGCTTATAGGGAGTAAGAAAGGATTTTACTGTACTTGAGTTTTGACATTTGTGATTTGCTACCCTATTCATTGCAGCATTACTTTGCTTAACCTTTTAGCGAGTCTTAGCAAAACCAGTAAATAAAAAAACAACAAAAACAGATTTTAAAAGCATATAAACATTTAATGTCAAGGTAACATTTCCAAAGAATTTTACCCTTAAGCACTATTGAAGGAACAGAGTTGCCTGAGAAACCATACTTTTGGTTCAAGTTAGTTATTAAAAGTACAGTTACAATTACAATAACTAAAATTATATGCTGCATTTCAATTGGCTTATTTGGTGCATCTGACTGTACTTCAGGTAGTCAGTTTCACTTGCTTGTATAGATTTTTGATACAGCAACAATAACAAAAACCCCAGAAAAACTGGATTGTAAAAACCACAAAAACTGACAAAAAGACTAAGGCGGCAAGCTTTGTGGCTATGAACTACTTTTAATTAGTTAAAAAAAATAGATTTCACATTGACCATGTTTCTTTAAAGTGCTGATGTCAGTCATTTGTATACAAAAGTGAGAGAAAAAAAATCAACTATTTTGCAAGCGTCAGCCCAGTGTTTCTGCATTAAGTTGTACAGTAAGAACACTCCTCTTCAATAGCTGGAAGAAAATTTACACATTTACATCCTTGAAGTCAACTGACAATAATTATAGGTTACTAATTTGCACACCAAACCTGCAAATGGTTAGGCACATGTGTAACTTCACTCAATTCAGATATTAAAAAAAAAAGCAACCCCCGCCCTATTAGTATTGATGCTGGCATAGAAAGATTTTTCAAATGATTATGGAAATATGATTATATAGCAGGTATCAACATTACTTTGCATTTTTTCCAACATCCTGTGTATTATGCATAACCTAGTAAAAAGTTATTGATAAATGCAACCAGCTTAAAATCTTGCTGTTGTTAGTAGCACTTGCAGAGATAGAAGGGTTGTAGAAAAGGCATTTTGTTCATGTTAAAAAAGTTGCATGTAAATGAAGAACCTGTATGTTAAGTATAGTGCCTTTTCAAAACAAGATGGAGGTAAGATTCATTTTTCTGTAGCGGTTTACTGTGTTTTCCTCACTCCGTGTATTATGAACATGGATGGTAGATACTAAGTTCTACTTTTTCTCTTATCTTCAAAAAGACTTTTCAGCATGTAAACCTGAACAGCTGACACCACCACCATAACTCCCAAGTTGACCATGGACCAGAAATTCACTCTGTCAAAGTTGCTTTCTTGTATATTGCGATCGCGAGCTTCAAATGCTTTGAGTAGGTTCTGAATCTGGACACTTCTGCTTAACCTTGCCTTGACGCTGTTGATGGATTCCTGATAAGGAACAAACAGAAGAGTATTTTTAGAATGCAAAATCACTTGGAAAGGAACACAGAAAATATACTTCTAAATACATGTCACAGCTCTCACTTCAAGAAACATCACCACTCCATATTGCTGTTTTTTATTCTCACAAACAACACTTGAAAATACTGTGTGCACAACTTTTAACTACTTGTCTACTGGACAGTAAGTATGAATAGGGCATGTTCTCAGAGGCTCTTCATTTGTTCTTTCATTTAGATTAGTGTATATTTATTGTATATGCGATGGAAAAAACATTGTTAGCAGTGCCAAAGTTGCCCATTGGTATTTTGTTCCCTTACAGAATATAGAAGTTCAGCAAAATATCATTTCCTGATTTCCCGCCCCCCCCCCGCCCCC